GGATGCTACCCCGGAGCCTCCTCTTCTCCAGGCTGAACAGCCCCAACTCTTTCAGCCATCTAGCAAACCATGTGACTCCTGACTATTTAAGTTAGGGCATTTACTCCTAAGGGTGAGGCATTTCCTCCTGAGCCTTGGAGGAGTGTGGCCCTTCCTTAGAGTAGAGCCTAAAGCCTTCGCATTAGAACATTGGTCTGCTTGGAGCCGCCTGAAGCCTTCCAGCTGCAACAACTGGTGACCCCAACGTGATACATCGATGAAGCCCTGGGAAGCCCCGACTCCCTCGCCGAGCCGAGAGCCTGAGCCTAAGGAGCCCGAGCCAAAAGAGCCGGAGCCAGCGCCGGAGCCGGGAGCTCGAGCGAGAATCCTTCGGAGAAGAAGGTAAAGCCGCAAGCCCCGACGTGGTATTCGCGGGAGGGAAGCGTGCTGGAGTTGGATGAATGGGCCGGGTCTCTGCTCACCCATAAAGCCTTTGTGAAAACAAAAAATGGTAAAACAAAAAGGGGGAATTATGGCATCCAGTCATTCTTACCCAGCTGGACCGACTTGAGATAATGAACTACTAATTACTACTCAACTCAAGGTACCTATCCTGCCTACAAGAGGCAGGCCATTTCCTCCTGGCTGCGGAAGATGCAACAGCGTCTCTGGTGCCGCAGCCCAGGCTGGTGAGCGACACTAGATGACCTTTGAAGGTCCCTTCCAGCCCTAACCATTCTATGATTCTATGAAAGGCTGAGGGAGCTGGGTCTCTTTAGCTTGGAGGAGACTGAGGGGGGACCTCATTCATGTTTATAAATATGTAAAGGGTGACTGCGATGAGGATGGAGCCAGGCTCTTCTCACTGGCATCCAACGATAGGACAAAGGGAAATGGATATAAGCTGGAACACAGGAGGTTCCGCTTAAAAATGAGGAAGAACTTCTTCCCAGTAAGGGGAACAGAACACTGGAACAGGCTGCCCAGAGAGGTTGTGGAGTCTCCTTCTCTGGAGATGTTCCAAACCTGCCTGGACGCGTTCTTGTGTGATCTGATCTAGGTGGTCCTGCTCCGGCAGGGGGATTGGACTAGATGATCCTTTGAGGTCCCTTCCAATCCTTGACATTCTGGGATTCTGTGACACTTGTAAACAAGCCCCTCAGTGCTTAAGCTTTGTCAGTGGTGTATGTTTGAGTTACTCAGATCAGCTCTGCCGAAGCCAGTTTTAGCGTACCCTTACAACTGTTCTCCAATTTGCTTCTGTACAGTGGTTTTGGCTTTGGATATCCTGACAACGGAGGCAAAGAGTCTCTGGATTTGTTTGAGAGACTTTGACTTGTGAGCATATGATGACAAGACTGCCATGTCCTCCCAACATGGGCTGCTTCTGAATCCTAGCTGCTTGAGATAAAGAACAAAACATGTCTGAACATTTGTGGCTTAAGAAGGACTTTGCAATAACGACAGAGAAACATTGCCAAGTAGTGGGGTGGGAAAAAGCTGCTGAGAGCGAGTCAGGGCCTTACTCTGTAGGCAGAACTAATGCCAATGAAAGACACATTAATGAAAGTGTGCTGTAGAGAGCATCCTGCTCACAGGTGTACCCTGGGGACTTCCCCAGCCCTAGGGACTCGTGAAGGCTCAGAGCCCACTGAGGTACACCTTCTTGGAAGCAAAACATGGACTTGAAAATAACGGGAGCAACAAGTTGGAACTTGCTGCTGAGCTTTGATGGAGCTGATGAGCAATTCCCAACTCAGCTGCAAAAAGGAAATCTAATACGACTTTTGGCCGTGGATTTGGTCAACGTCACAATGAGAATTTAGCAAAGTCGTGAGTTCGAACACCCCACTCATCCATCCCACCCTAACGCGGTGCACGATCGAGGGATCGTGATGCCTGACCCAGCAGGTGCTGGAGGAAAGGACATGGGCAAGTGTCTCGTGTTGCCCTGTTTGTTTGCTGATGTCAGACGTTATGGTACGGACATGGGCAAGTGTCTCGTGTTGCCCTGTTTGCTGATGTTAGACGTTACGGTACGAGTTCTCCGTTGTACGGGATGACTGCACCAGGGCCCTTCCTCTCTCACAGGCTGGAAACTGCCCAGCTGTGTGAACAGGCACTCCGTGCCCGCGCCAAGGTGCTCAGCACCCTCTTTAATCAGGTGAGGACAACAGGATGGCACAATACCTCTATGTACAGCACGAAAGCATTTCTGCAGGGTACTGATGGCTTTAGGAGGGTTCCCTGACGGAATGCAGCCACCACACACGGACTATATGGATGGGTGTTTGCAGCAGGGTTGTATGTTGAGGCAAACAGCCATAAAAGATGTGCTGGTGAGTGTCCCATGAGTATCAGACATGCGTGTCCTGCAGTCCCTTGACAGGCTTTTTTTTCTTTTCTTTCACGTTAAGCACCACCTTAATTAAAATTAGTTTGTCATTATTTTTAAAGGAGAACTGATTGTTTTGCAGAAGTGCAAACCCCACCGAGGATTCTTCTTGATTTAGAGGAAGTTGCTGTTGTTACAGCTGGCCCTTATAATTCATATAAAGACGAATCTATCAGCTTGATGTCTAGAAATACTCATTCCAATAGCTGAAATGTATCTGCTGTATTTTATTCATCAGCAAGCCCTGGAGTTCTGATGGTTCATAAGAATTTCATCTCCTCTGTACTTATAGTGAATTAACTTCTTCCTTTTAAAGTGCATTGAAGCTTCAAAATAAATGGATGTTTTCAGCGAAAGTCTTCCTCTTAGAGACAGCAGGATCTTATTTGACACGAAGGAGGGCCACGAAGATGATAAGAGGGCTGGAGCACCTTTCCTATGAGGACAGGCTGAAAGAGTTGGGGCTGTTCAGCCTGGAGAAGAGGAGGCTCCGGGGTGACCTTATAGCGGTCTTCCAGTACCTCAAGGGGGCCTACAAGAAAGATGGGGAGAGGCTGTTCAGGAGGGCCTGTTGTGATAGGACAAGGGGTAATGGTTTTAAAATAGAGGGAGGAAGATTCAGGTTGGATAGTAGGAAAAAATTTTTTACCATGAGAGTTGTAGAACACTGGAACAGGTTGCCCAGAGAGGTGGTGGATGCTCCATCCCTGGAGACGTTCAAGGCCCGGTTGGATGAGGCCCTGAGCAACCTGATCTAGTTGGAGATATTCCTGTTTGTTGCAGGGGGGTTGGACTAGATGACCTTTGAAGGTCCCTTTCAGCCCTAACCATTCTATGATTCTATGATTCTATGACAGATTCTCTGATTCTGTTCGTTCAGCTCGCTGCACCGGTTTCTAGCGCGGTTTCTCTTTTCAGCCTTGCTCTGGTGCTCCTCGTGGTGATTCGTTTGCTTTACACGCAGTTCCTCGCCTGACGTAGCAAATGTTCTTCCTCAAAGTGCACCTGACCTTTGTGTTGGAATCGTGCTCAAAAAAAAAAGCATTCTGCTTCGACAGGGAAAGCTAATTTATTTAAGTACTGGGCTAATTTCTTCTCTGTCGTATCCTCGATGGGCGTTACTTTCTCCTCAGTTACACCAGGGAGTACACAGAGACGTACCGGCTCCAAAACTGATGGTGACAATACTCTATTTGTCAGGAAATTAACATGTATTTCCAACAAATCTTAAAAAATGGCAATGTGGAGTTTGACCTCCGTCGTTACCGCCTGATAAAACGTAAGTAAACACAAATAAATGCGCTGTTTAAAGTATCCAATAGGTGAATGTATCACCAAAAGACATCAGATATCATGGTGATGCTGTTTGCAAAGAATATTAGTGATTACTGATCGTTCCTGTCATTGCTGCTGTGATTTTATATTAACAATTCCTTTAATGAGGTGAATGCCAGAAGGGTAAATTCACAAAAAGGAAAATCACTTTACGTGTAACTTAGTGGGATAACAACGTCTCGAACCGTGACAGACGTCTTTCATCCAGCAGTCTGCCACAACAGGAAATGACTTCCTCTGATACGCGACGAAATAAATAAAGGCCAGATGGTTCATTTGTCTGCGTTTACTTTGCACAGATCTACCAGTAAAACAGGATGTTTTCTATTAATGTTGCTCCAGGTTTCCTGGTAACAATAGCACCGAAATGAGGACCAGATTTTGCCTGGGTGAAATTCACTCCTTCTGCATTAAGCCCTACGCCTAGAATCTGCAAAGAAGAAAGCTGAAGTAAGACGTGGAAGCTGCTGAGTTTACGTGCGAGCACCAGGCTGCGATGCGTACAGGACGCAGGAGTCAGGGACTCAGCTCCCACCGAAACTCCAAGGAGGTGAGTACCTTCGTTCTTAAAGCTTTTTTTTTTGAGAATTCCAGCCCTGTAAGACGTAACGGTCTCCCATTATTTGCTCAGGGACAGTATGTATAGATACACGTATATGAACGGCGCCTACGCAGCGGGAAGGAGAGCGCAGAGCATGCAGCTTCCCGACCGCGAAGAAGCAGCAGCTTTGCGGAGCCGTATGCGACAGGCACCCGGATCCTCCCCACAGACCGCACTCGGCTCGTGCCCGCCGGTGCTCAGCCGGAAAGACGAGGGGCTGTGAGCTGGCTGGTGGCAAACGTTGAACCGCGTGGGGTTCAAGTGGTAGGACGGGCTTTAAGTCGGCCGCGGGGTGCACGGGACGTCCCACCTAACCGGAATGCGGTTTGTGTTGAGGTATGTTTGCTTTGGCTATTTTTTTCCTGAAATGTGCAATTACAAAAAAAAAAAAAATATTTACATCATTACGAGCGAAACGTCAGTGTCGGCTTTTCCCGTCGTAAAATGGATTATTCCTAGGTGCAACAGGTGAATTATTTCCCTTGGGCGTCAGATACAAAACTGTTTTCAATACAGAGAACAATAAACTGATTACTACAGCTATATACTTTCTGATCAAGAAGTTTCCCCGTCTTCAGTGGTGATGCTTGTCCCACGGCTCCCATCTCGGCCGTGCGCCAGGCTTCGCAGTAGTTGCTAACCAGTCGGATCCCACGCGCAGTCGAACCATGCCATATTACTTTCTGAGGCCTGAAAGGTAATGTCAAGAAGTTATTTCCTGAAAAAGTCTATTTTTTTTTTTTTGCTTTATTCAACTGCACACCTGTACCTGTGGTGGCCTGTGTTTCTGCTTCCTTTCTGCTTGAAGCAAACAGGGGGCAGAGGAAGATGAAGGTAGAAAGGAGAGGAAGAAAAGGAGAAGACAACCTGATATCCCATTTACAGGCTATCAGAAATGGAAAAGAAAGATGGCATAAGGGAAGGGAGAAATTTTTTTCACATTTCTGGTAGCCCAAGATACTGATACTTTTGCTATCTGGCAAAAGTCAATGTCACGTAAAACTCACAAATGGTAAGGTAAACTCACCAAGATGGATCAGTCATGACGTTCCTCCCATTAAAGGAGTATATGGGAACATGAATGTTGAATTGTCCACCGTTTCCATCAAATATAGATTCCCAGTTGTTGAAAAGTGTTTCTCCCTGTTAGAATTTCAAAGGTAATTTTACAAACAAAACAAAGCCAAAATCCATGTCACACCTGACTTTTACAGACTCATCTACACATCTAAAATCTCACCGGTATTTAAGAACACTTATGATCCCAGCTTTCCCTTCACCTTCTGCATGATGCTCCTGAACAAACTTGTCTCATCTGTCATCCCAGCACTATCAGCCATCTGACCCACGCCTCTGCCTCACAGTAGTGTCTCTGTTCTACTGTCACTCCAAGCACTTGACACGATTGCCTCCATTCTCACTGTCCTTTTCCTCCTAACTGTCTAAGGGGTTGTTTGAAAAATTGCTTATAATTACTCCAGCTATAGAGGAAATACAGAGATAATTTGTGTTGGAACTGCTGTTGGGGTCACGATTTTGTGAAAAGCGTTGCAAATATTTAAGGCAAAAGCTTTGCATCAGGCTACCTCTCAAACTGCTTTTGAGTTTTTCCAAAGTTGAAGCAATATTGTCTTTACGGATTTGCCTCCGAGGCTCTGTGTTTGCTTGCACTTCAGAGCAGCATCCGCTCGGCGTGTTCCAAGCATCGTGTGTTATTTCTGTAGGTTTCTTGGCCGTTTGTCCTGGGAGCCAGCCAATGCTACAGAGACAGGGTTTGTTTTCCTCAGTTCCAGAGTGTGTCTGTTTATGTGAAACCACCGAATGACTCATGCTCTAGACTCTCCTCTCAGTTTCACTGGGGTAAACCCAGCATCACTCCTAAGCCCAGAGGCTGCCTTTAGCTTTAGAAATTAGAAAAACAGGCGTTTTAGCCTGCTATGCTCTGTGCTCCTTCTAGAAGGTAGAACATAACAGTTATCTGTGGGAAAGGAGGATGCACTTTTCCCCGCCGATAGAAAAAATATCCAGAAAGCAGAACATGGTGCTGTGGCTTTGCCAGAAGTCTGCTCCAGGCAGGCTCTTCTCAGAGCTCCGTTTCTACCGTTGGACTCGGGGTATTGACAAAAGCAACCCTGGAAAACGGGAGGGAGATGGGAGTCGGTCTGTAACTTTCTGCTTTATCACGACTTTTTTGTTTCTTGAACCTGACTCCACAGTATGAAGCAAAGCTGCTTCTTTAAGAAACGCCGTTTGGGTTGAAGCTTCCTGCTTTTGCCATTTTCCAAGATTTTGGGGCACCTACGGCCTATCCTAATATAACAAGTACTAAGCACTCTTTTTTACCTTAAGATTGACTATTGGTAAATGGTATCGGTCTGTTTTTCTGACCACTGTGACCAGATCTTGCAGATGTGACGAGACGAAGGCTCTGTAGGTAGATGTCAAACCTGCCAGTTGGGCTTGTTGGAAACACAGGAAATCTGCTCGCATGTCACCAGACAATGGCAAGTTTAAAGCCACTAGATGCAGCTGGAGAAAAAAAGAAGAAAAGCCACCATTTTTTTTCAAGCTTATAACACTAGGAAGACATATACTGGAAGCAAACTGGACACCCCCCCCTTCTACTGCCAGCACAAGAACCAGTACCTTGCGTACCAGAAAAGAAAGTTATTTGCTGCCATAACATTACATTTCTTAAACCTATGAGACCTGAAGCAGAAACACCTCTTTATCTTTGAACACTAAGGAAACCATTAAGATTATATACTCCTAAATTTATTTTAAAAAATAGAATTCTTTTAAAAGCAGCTAATATTTTTAAGCAGCAGTCTTGGAGTTATCACACAAAATCCCAAATCCTACAAGCATGAAAATAAGTAGTAAGAAGTGACCACACAGCATTTGAAAATTCACTGTTACTAAATACAAGAAGTAGCATGCTAGTAGCATCAAACAGTATAGCAAGAACATTTTTTTTTAATTATTTTTTTGTTTTGTTTTGTTTTGAAGATGTGACTCAGTTACCTTGCTTTCTTTATCTAAGTATTTTAAAGCATTTTAAAAGAAGGCTTAACTTCTAAAGTGCCCATCTTAAACAAGCAACGCCGTGAAGACACAGAATATTCTAATGAATATTAATGGTTTAATTATAACACTATTGTTAACTTAAAAATTACAGTGTGTTGCAGGTGCAGTCACTCAGCGAAGAGGAATTCCTAGCGCAGAGTCAGGATTTTTCGCTTTTTTTCTTTGAGATGGGAAAGGGGCTAGGATGATGAAAAGAGATCTGGAGGAAACAATTTACAACTGTCTCTGAGTCGTCTAAACCAGTTAAAGAAGTGCATTTGTAAACTTCTAAAGTAAAATCCGTGAATTTGAAGAGGAAATGCCACAAATCTCCCTCCAGATGCAAACTGTCATGTTTCAAACCACAGCTATGCAGCTGCGATACAGATCTCAAACTTACTGCTGGTTTTCCATTGTTCACATTCGACATCGGACTCAGTGCTGGAAGAGGCTGAAATCCCTGTGATTTTAACACATGCAAACAGACACGTTAAACATGTTACTCAGATCAGAATTTTAGACACTTAGTCATTTTCGAAACAAAGCAAACGTTGAACACTGGAGAATCTGAAACTGCCCTTTCTCTGGAAAATAAACCCAAACCGTGCAGCCAGAATACTGGATCTACGTATCATGGAGTCGAGGTGGCACAAAAATGTGTGTTTGAAAGCTGTCCTGGCCAGAGTCGCTCAGCCAGAGCCGCGTGCCCATTCCACAGTGCCAGCACCGGCTGGCACCTGGAGTCCTGTATGGAAGCAGCCTGCCCTTGGCACCAGCAGAAGACCAGTTGAGGAAAATTAACACTGAAGGGGTAAGGAGGATGCAGAAACAGAAAATATAGTGGGTGGGAATATTCCTCAAGGCCCCAGTAGCTCCCTCTCCTACGCAACTGGTGTGTGGAGACCAGAAGGTCGATGATCTTCAGAGCTGTTTCGGGAACAGTCGAGTTTTCCTCTCTAGTTACGGTAAGTATGAGTAACAAGCCACTCGTACCAGCTGGGTAACTCCTGTGGTGTCAGCTGGAGGCTGCAGACAATTTCTTACAACATGCAGTCTAGACATTTTCCCAGTCTGCTAAGTGCATTTCTCTCTGACCTACTTTTTCTCTAACTTTTTTCCATTTCTTTCTGGCCTTCCTCCTTCCCACTGCTCCTTCCTAGCACTCTCTGGCCCTTTCGTTATCTCAGCAGTCAGCTCAATTAACCTGTCACCAACGAGACTGTTCTCTCTCTCCTTTGCCCCTTCTTGGTTTTCATCCTCCTGTGATTTTTTTGGGGACAGACAGCGTGCTCACATGCAGACTGGTACAACAACCCACAGAATGGGGTCAGGTACAAACTAACAATCGAGGCTTCAGAAAAGACTGTGAGATAAGCCACACACAGGTGATGATGATGTACCCTGAATCCAGGACTAGAATCTTTCAAAGAAAACCTGCTATTCAGAAACACTTTTCTGAGTTTCCTTGAAAGGGACACCAGGGCTTGACACGACTGACTTCAGTGTTACGAAACAGAATACTGTTTGGGTTTGGTTTTGGGGTTTGTTTGTTTGTTTGTTTGTTTGTTTGTAGGCAGCCTGGTTTGTTCTGCTTTTTGTAAATGCTGCTTTGTCTCTGTAGTATTTGGAGTCTCAGAAGATGATGCAAACAGATGACGGGCCAGTCAGAACCAACTTGCAAGCTTAGGTAGTGGCAAGATGCTTATTTTGAACTTGCAAGTCTCAGTGGAAAATTGTGTTGTGCAGGGATCTGCCTGCAACTTCTGCCACGTTTATCACCCAGTTTTGCAAATTTCAACTCAGTTTTTCACAGTCCAATGTTTTGTACTTACATGGCTTGATATGGCTGGAGGAGGAAGGCTGTCAGCAGGGATAGGAATTAGCTCACCAAGCTGAAAGAACCCCAAAGGAAAAGCAAACAAAACTGTATCACCACGAGCTTCTGAACTAAAAAAAGGAATCTTTGCACCCGTATTTCCCCACCCCTTAAAAAAAATATCCGCAATAACGCCATTTCGAGTAGGAGTTGGAAAGGATTAGGACGTAGCGCGATAGTACCTGCAATTTTCTCCATCCGTTTCGAACGCGGATAAACACCTCACTGGTTTCACTCAGATAGATCAGCGTCCCTTCTGCTACCAAATGGACCTTTGCCAACATACCCTCAATGTTTTGGAACGTCGTCACCTGTCAGGTAGGACAATGAAGCACGCTTCGTCAGGCGCACAAACATTTTGCAAGTGAAATTGTTAAACTGACATCTTACTGAAAGGCTCACAAAGTCAGCTGTACGTCACTTCACACGAAAAGCTCCAGTAACATCCATATCTCACTACTTTGGCACGCCAGCATCATCGTTCTGTGGGCTGCAGCAGAACTACAGTGTCATTTCTTGACGTTTGAGTGTCATTTATTTCTCATTTCTTCAGTGTCAGAAGGCGTATTAACGTTTTAGGAATCATGCAGACCCTACTGAAGGTTTGCATACTGTTTTTTAATGTTGGTTTCAACATACATGGGCATGCATCTCCTATCCAAGACAGGAGCTCCTAGCCTGTGATGCAGTCCTCTGCCTCGGGGCATCAGTCTTTGAACATCTGTTTCTCCCCTGATCTGTACTCCTTGTCAGGTCCTGAATTTCTATGGGAAAAGGCAGTTGGCAGAGGTATGACGCTATGGTGGGAAAGCATTAAGAAACCTGGACTCAGATTCTTGTTAGTTCGTTTCATATGATGTAGATGATCTGAATTACTGCTTATTAGTATATTCTCAGACGATTGCCAAAGATTTCCTGCAGATTCGCTTTTCTATCAGAATGTGAGCATGTGGAAAAGACAAAAATTGCAAATAACCCTCTCTGCTAGCTTGGATCACTTTTTTCCCAGAAACTATGAATACTTAATTTAGAATTTAACAAGACAGAAGTCTTAGTTGTCATTTTTACTGCATGGATATCTAGGATACCATTCTGATTTGATTCATGCAGTAAGAAAAAGAAACCATTAAATTTCTATGTATCCTCTGACACAGCAATTTTTAGATTTGCTAGGGAAATCTACAGTTTTCCTCTTAGAATCGAATAACAGATATTACTGGGTTTTAATCCAGTAACATAAAGTGTTTTTTTTCATGGAAACTGGGC